CTCTATAAATGCTCCTTGTCTCCTAGTTCTTTGCTCTATTTCCTTTTACTTGAAGACTTAGATCTTACACACAATTGTCACTCCTGGAACTTTCTGGAGAGGATTGGGATCAAGCCCCACTTTGTCCCAGGAACTTTACTTTCAGCTTGTATGTCTGGTTCTTCCCATTTCTTCCTCCTAGCAGGAAGAAGTCCTTATCGCTAAGTCTAAGCCTGAAGTCACCTTGCTCTGGTCCTCCAACAGGATCTGAAATTCCGGTTGAGTCCATGTCAGTCGAGGGAGTAGCCTTCACCTATAGTCCCACCATGCTCTTCTACGGTGCATATGCCCTGACTCATTCTGCCCATTATGCTCTTTGTAACTCTGTGCATGCCTATTCATGCTCACATCCCACTGTTTTCATTCATCAATGCTCTGCCCAAGAATCTTCAACTTAGAAACCGTTCTGAGCCAGAGAATGACTACCATTCTTTAGCTTGGGTGTTGCTTATTTTCTTCTATGTTATGGTATTTAACTTTGCAAATCTTTATATGTAGAATATCAAGAAGTCAGAGATAGTCAAATTGTCCAGAGCTGATATTTCTTTGGTAAGCAATTATTTACAAAGTCTATGAGCCAAAGTCAGAACAAAGCGCTTCCATGGGCCAACAGGAGACTGCGAATCATTCCTTGTGTGTGAAATAAACTGGAGAGAAAATTGGGTGCTGTAGCATCCCTTCCAGGCCACCACACTGTTCTTTCTAAGGCCAATAAATACATCCTGAAACCTTCATCTCATGTACTTTGGACATGTGATCAGGAGAGACCAGCTCCTGGAGAAGGACATCCTGCTTGGTAAAGTGGAAGGGCAGTGAAAAAGAGGGAGGCCATTGAGGAGATGGAGGGACACAGTGGCTGCAACAACGGGCTCAAACATAATCACCATGGTGAGGATGGTACCAGACCTGGAGGTGTTCCATCCTTTGTCCAGTGGGGTTTGCGATGCATCCTAACCGACTCCAACAGCACCTAGCACCTAGCAAGAGCAGCAACAACGGAGACTTCCTAGCTTCCCAGATTCCAGACACTTAGTCTTTCTTCTTCCCATACAACTTCAGTCATAACTCCCCTTTTTGTTCATGTAGCTCATTTCTCTTAGGCCAGAGTTTTGTGTACTCCTGTTCTCCAGAGAACAGCAACTCACTGCCATCGCGTTGACTCCTGCTCAGAGATCAAACCCACATTTCTCCATCCTACTGGAAAGAAGAGACTTTGCATTTTGGGGGGGCGTATTATAGTGTGCTAAGAGGTAACCTGCATCTATGTTGTAAGTGTATCACCTTTTCATGTGACCTCAAATGTAGACCCTTAACTCTGAGTTCTTCTCTCTGCAATGAAACATCTTAAATTTATTCTCTCTGAATAGAGAACAATAATCAGCCTAAAGAAATTGTTCAACCTTGAACTGATTACAAGGAACTATATGCG